ATGTGAACTCTATGTATCTTATTTTGACTAGCCTAGTATCAAATTGAATCTCTTGTAATGACCATTGCACACTATCGAAAATGTGGAGCCTTGTTTAACTTATAGTGTCAATGCCTAGTGTGATAAGCTTACCTATGAACTATGCATGATAGATCCTAGAATTTGCCCCGTTGGTCCAGTCAACTAAGTGATGCTATCTCTTGATATGTTCTTAGGCAACTTTTACGAGTGTGAGCCAATTTGACATACACCTCTTTTCTGACCAACCTTGTGAGTGTGTGATTCTCTCTTGAACACCCCTTGAGCCTTACCTTTCCTTGGAAGAAAACTTGATGAAAACTAGACCTTTCTTAATCCATCACCCATAGTCCTCATGAAGTTGTGGTTAGTTTGAATAGCCAACTTAGACCAAAAGCCTAAGTTAGGGGTGTGGTGAAAAGAAAAGGAAAAGTCAAGAAATGCAAGAAAGTCTCTTCTACCCATGGTTTTGAAGAAAATGGAACCTCTCCATATAAAAAAAAAAAAGAGAAGATAAAGAAAAAGAAAAAGAATGAAAAAGAAAGTTGTGGAATTAAGTACAAAAGAGATGGGGTTCTCAAACAATCCATGGAAAGTGAATTATAGGATGACTTATGAACACTAATGAAAATGATGAAGGAAAAGGAAAGGAAGGGTTGTGTGAATCACATTTCATGAGGATGAAAGTAACTGAGCCTAAATGATCATACCTTTGCAGTCAACCCCATTACAAGCCTTAAAAAGACCTTTGTGATCTTGAGTGAGCTGAAACAAATGTTGATTGGAAAATACGGGCAAATCTATGGGTGAAAGCATGCATTATGCTCTTCTTTGTGAGTGTGAGCGTTGCATCTGATTCTAAAGCTTTAAACTATGAAATCGTGGTGTGAATATGGAATCATTCTTTGTGTGAGGGCATTTGAACACTATATTTGAGCTTGAACTTGCATTTGAAGCAAGTATTGTGAACATGAGATTCATTGATATTGGTGAGTCACAACTTGAATCTTTGAGTGCACATTTGATCTTTGCATAAGTAAATTGAGTCCTGTTGTCAACATTCATGATTGAGTCTTCTGTAGCACTGTTCAAGACACCCTTTTTGAACGACTGAACTTGAGTTTGCTTGAGGACAAGCAAAAGTTTAAGTTGGGGGTGTTGATGAATCCACAAATTGGAGTCATTTAGGGCTATATTTTAATTGAAATTGTGTCATCAAATGCATGTTTTGCCTTGATATCTGATGAAAACCTTAAAGTTTTAGGAATTTGTTGTTTGAGGGAAAGCATGGACACGATCGAGTAAAAAGGAGCAAACGAAGCTAAAAGAACGAAGAAATGAAGATTTGGGAATCGCCGAACCCATTCGGCGAATCGCCAATTGATCACATATTCGCCTTTTCTTCCAGTGTGCTGAGCCCTGAAGGAAAGGATCAAGTCGACGGAAAAAGGGAGTAGTCGGCGCATCGCCGAGAAGTTTTGCGAAGCAGTACCATGTCTCCCAATGACCCAGAGCATGACGATGTTAAGGGCTGGTACAAGGCGACAATGAACTACACCAAAGGGTGAATCGCCGAGTTGATCGGCGATTCCGACTAACGACACCGAAGGATCCACTACAACACAAATCTGTGAAAACTATAAATAATAGTTAGAGTTGTAGTTTTAAGTGTGGAACAATTATTATAATTTTCATATAGAAGAGTACTTTTTAGTATTTTTGCTCTGAGTTTGAGAGGGTTTTGAAGACTTGAAGAAAAATAGTGTTTCATCTCTAAGGATTTGGACTTGGGTCTCTTAGATTCTTCATTCTTGGCATGTAACAAGACTTAAATCTTCAAACCTATTTGAATGTAAGCTATTTTAGGTATAAATTTCTATATCTTGATGTGTGGGTAAAAACCCCCATTCTTGGGTGTGATTTAGTGAATATGGGTTAATATTGTTGTTGGGTCTTATTTGCTGATAGATTAGATGTAGTTTAATTAAGATTTCCTCTAGTAGTTGTGGACGAATTTAACAAATTTGTAGTCGCAAATACAAGTTTATTTATGTGATGTTGGCTTGCTCGAGAGAGAAGTCGTGAAACCAAGACTACTAAATTGATGGCCTAAGGAGTGGGTCGACATGAGGTTCAGCTTGAGAGAGTGAACCCTAGTCCCATATCCTATAACTCAGCTCGAGAGAGTGAGTGGGGGTAAGATGTAGGCTAGTCTTCATGCGGCAAGTGGGGTAAGTTGCTCGAGCGAGAACTTATTCCCCCATAAAGCTTAGCCTAGTCACTATTACTCTATAAATTTTCTATCGCAAGCATGTACCAAATAATCTAGCTTAACCCGTATTCCCGTCACATCCCAAGGATCCTCTCTCATTATTTAGAAACCCTTGTTTATTTTGCTATTTTTACCTTACTTGTGACAATACGACTAGTTAGAACTAAATTTTATTTATCTATAAATTTTCAAAATCACTCTCTTGGGACGATCCCAACCCTTGGTTGGGTTACTAAACTATTGTACGACCGTAGACACTTGCATTGGAAGTTGTGTCTTGATTACGCAAACATTAGAAGGGCAACCTTGTATGTATTGTCGTTGAGCTGCTCAATCAATGGAAATGGGCTATCACCTCGCGGCATCAGCTTCATCTTTCGATTTGTGGGAAAGCGCTCCTTGCAAAAGTATAGCCACCTCCAATCACCCAGTTTAAAGACGATCCTCTTACGACCCTTGTTAGCCTTTTTGGCTACATCTTGGTTCTTCTTCTCTAAGTGTAGCCTCACCTTTTCATGAAGCTTCTTCATGGCTTTAGCTCGCTTACTCCCATCTAAGCATAACACAACATCTTAAGAAAGAGGAGTGAGATTCAAAGGGGTTATGGGGTTAAAACCATACACCATTTCAAATGGAATCATGCCAATAGAACTATGAATAACTCAATTTTATGCGAACTCAACTAAAGGCAAATGTTCCTCCCACGAGGCCAACTTTCCATGCACGACGGCAAGAAGCATAGAACCCAAGGTCCTTTTCACAATTTTAGTTTGGCCATCATTTTATGGGTGACAAGAAGTTGAGAACAACAACTTAGTACCAAGTCTATCCCACAGTTCCTTCCAAAAGTGACTAAGGAATTTTGGATCCCTATCACTTACAATGGTTTGAGGAATTCCATGCAATTTAACAACATGCTCAACAAACAAGGATGCTACATTGGAAGCATCATCACATTTATGACATGGAAAGAAATGAGCCATCTTTCAAAATCGATCAAGAACAACAAAGATGTTATCTCTACCTTGTTTGGTCCTTGGAAAACCCAAAACGAAGTCCATTGAAATATCAAGCCAAGGTCTTTGAGAGGTGGGGAGGTGGGTAAAACCATGGGGAAGGAGATGTGACTTAGCACGTCGACATTCAACACATTGACCACGAATTTGAACAACATCTTTATGGATTTTAGGAAAATAGAATTGTTCCTCAAGAATTCCCCTAGTTTTGTCAATACCAAAATGACCCGTTAAACCCCCATCGTGTGCCTACCTCACAAATAGTTTTGTCCTAGAGCTCATGGGCACACAAAGTCTCTTGCCTTTGAACAAGAAACCATCAAACTTGGAATAGGGAGTAGAAGAACTATCCCTCATCCCCCTTTCCCTCTACCATTTCTCACAATCTTGAAGATTTGAGCAAATTCGGGATCCTTGGGAAACAATGCCTTCAAGCATTGAAAGCCAATCAATTTTGAAGACAAAGTATTTATTAACACATGTTTTCTAGACAAGGCATCGGCCACCACATTTTCCTTTCCCTTTTTCTATTGGATTACATAAGGGAAAGTTTCAAGGAATTCAATCCATTTGGCGTGCCTCTTATTCAACTTTCCTTGGGCCCGAATATGCTTTAGGGACTCATGGTCAGTGCTAATGACGAATTCCTTGGGCCTCAAGTAGTGTTGCCAATTACCCAAAGCCCTAATAAAGGCATACAATTCAGGATCATTAGTGGAATAATTCAAAGTAGCACATTTTAGCTTTTCACTAAAATAAGTAATGGGCTTTTGGTCTTGCATTAAGACGGCTCCAATTCCTACTTTACTAGCATAACATTCCACTTCAAACATTTTATCAAAATCAGGTAATTGCAACAAAGGAGTGGAACTAAGCAAGGATTTTAAAGCCTCGAAAGCTTTGGCTTGTTCCTCTCCCCACTTAAGAGGTTTATCCTTTTAGATTACCTCTGTCAAGGGGGGTGCTATGGTACTAAAACTTTTGACAAAATGCCTATAAAAACTAGCCAACCCATGAAAGCTTCTAACATCGCTTATGGATTTCAGAATTGGCCAATTCTTAATAGCATCAACTTTTGACTCATTAACTTCAATCCCTCTTGAACTCACAACAAAACCCAAGAAGACAACTTCATCAACATAAAATGAACACGTATCAAGATTAGCATAAATTTGTTCCTTCCTAAGCACATCAAACAAACATCTCAAATGCTCAACTTGATCTTGCATGGTCTTGCTATAAATCAAGATATCATCAATATAGACAACCATAAATTTCCCTATAAAGGGTTTCATCACATTATTCATGAGACACATAAAGGTACTAGGAGCATTAGTGAGACCAAATGGCATCACCAACCATTCATATAGACCAAACTTGGTCTTGAATGCAGTTTTCCATTCATCACTAGGGTTCATCCAGATTTGGTGATAACCACTACTAAGATCAATCTTTGAAATCACACAAGAGCCATTCAATTCATCAAGCATATCATCTAACCTAGGGATATGATGATGATACTTTACCATAATCTTGTTAATGGCTAGGCAATCTACACACATGTTCCATGTTCCATCTTTCTTTGGAACCAATAGAACCAGAACGACACATGGACTCATGCTCTCCTTCACATAACCTTTGTTGAGGAGTTCATCAACTTGCCTTTGTAGCTCCTTGGTGTCCTCCGGATTGCTTCAATAAGCCGTCTTGTTTGGCAATTGTGATCCCGACACAAAATCAATTTGGTGTTCAATTCCCCGAAGAGGGGGCAATCCACTTGGAAGCTCCTTTGGGAAGACATCCTCATAATCTTGCAAAAGAAAATAATAGAATTGGGAAGAGAAGAATTACATTGGTTAGTTTGTAGCACATGATCCTTATATGTGATAAGGATCAACGAACTTTCAGACTCAATTTCCTCCCTTATCTCCTTGTAATTAGCCAACAATACTTAGGCCTTTCCTTTCAACTTCCTACTCTCCTCCTCTCCTCCTCTTCTTGGCTCTCAGCCTCCTCATGTTCCTCTTCACACTTCTTCTTCTCCCTCGACTCACTCATCATTTGATATACATCATTGACTTGAGAGGGTGACATAGGGTGAAGAACATACTTATGATCATTCAACACAAGTGAATACTTGTTAGTTCTCCCATCATGTTTGGTTGAACGATCATGTTGCCAAGGCTTCCCGAGTAGCACATGACAAGCTTGCATTGGGACCACATCACATAGAACTTCATCTTGATATTTCCCAATCTTGAATTTGATCATCACTTGTCTATGTACCCTCAATTCTCCACACTCACTCAACTATTGGCGCTTGTAAGATGTATCATGCTTAATGGTAGGAAGTTTGAAGAATTCCACTAACGCAGTACTAGCAACATTTGCACAACTCCCACTATCAATGATTAATGAACACACACTATCCTGGATAAAGCATTTGGAGTGAAATCGATTCTCTCTCTGGCTCGGATCATCCATTGGTTTACTAATCATAACTCACCTCAACACATATAGAGGAACAACACTCTCTCCTTCTATGACACAAAGTTCTGGTTCCTCATCTTCCCATCTTCAAACTCATCCTCTTCTTAAGGATCTTCTTCACATTTACCTACTGGCTCTTTCTCAACACTAAGATATATCTCCCCTCCTTGCATTAGAGCATTTAATCGATTGGGGCACTAACACATTATATGACCCCATCCTCTACATTCTTGATATTCGAACCCTTGTTCCAACCTCACAATGTTTGAGCTCCCCCTTTGTTCTTGCTCCAAGAATCGGAAGACGAAGTATTATACTTAAACACTTTCTCCTCCTTGAACTACATCTCTATCTCATGGGCAGCCTCAAAGACGTCATTCAAAGTATCAAACCGATGATGGTCATCTTAGAAGAAATATATTTGTTCAACACTACCTTGAAGCGAATTACGGCATGTTCTTTAATATCTTTATATTCTAGTTTCATGACTATGTTTTGGAACTCATCATGATAGGCTTCAACACTTCTACTTCCTTGCCTCAAGTTGTACAATTTATCAAGTAACCCTTGGCGGTATCTTTCCGGCACATACTTAGCTCTCATCAATCTTTTCAATTCGGGCCATAGTGGATGATGACCTTATTGAACAACTAAGTCTTCATGTATTCACACCATGTGATAGCACACCCTTCAAATTGGACGATAGCATAGCCACTACTCTTGACCTCCATCAAGTCATTGACATTGAAAAGCCGGTCACATTGCGACTCTCATTCAAGATAAGCATCGGGATTAGACTCCCTTTTGAATGTTGGAAGAGTCGTTTTGATAGAGTTGATGCAAACATATCGGCCTCTGTAGCCACCTTGGTCGTTGTGGTAATAACCCCTTTGATGTCCTCCTTGATAGCGATTACCATGTCATTCTCTAGCTTTTTGGCCAACTTCTTGATTAACATTGACTTCCCATTGGTCTCCACCTAGAGGGTGGTTTCCATGTTGTCTCTTATCAAATGGCATTAGACCCAATCTACCTCTTGGTCCACCTTGCAAGACTTGACCTCTTGGTCGATTCCTTGGTGACTCATTCCATGGCACTTCTTAACCTTCACCTTCATAACCTCCTTGGTCCTCATCATTCCTCACCTGATTCACGTGATTTGGTTATGGTTGTGGTCTTTGGTAGGAAATATTTTGGTTAGGTATTTTTTGTAAGGATGGCTTTGACTTGGTGGAGCTTCTTGCTAAGCGGGAAATGGAACGGTCGATTGGTACTTTGGCTATTTGAACCGAATTTATTTAAAGTTGGGTGCAAAGCTTGGTGGAGATTTCCGGATGTGAGAGTATGAGAATTAGTATGATCGTGCCACTTGTAGAAGGACGGAAAGTAGCTTGTGGTGTAGAGTCATTGGAGTTGACTCGATTGCCTTTGATTGCCTCTCAAACTGGCACGGCTAATGTTGACAGTTTGTTTGTACTCAGTTCATCACTAGGTACCAATTGCTACTGTTGGTCAGAATAGATTCTTGTTTTAAGAAGAACGTATGACTCAATTGAAAACAAAAGGACTTGAATCAAGAATAAACTATGAAGTAAAACGAAAAAAAACATGAAAAGAAAAGGCACAAACAAAGAAGTGAATTCAAGAACCACTAGTCAACAAGTAGAGTAATTACAAGTTGAAAATCAGTTAAGGATTCTTGACAACGAACGAGAATCAAAAGAAAGAAACTGAGAAGAAAGGGTCATAACATATGTTTCTGATTGCCAAATGGCCTGTTTTCTTTGCCAAAAGTGAAGTTCAACTCGCCAACTTGAAGAAGGACTCGCCAAACTCTACAAATGGACAATGCAACTCGGCAATGTGGGTGGTAGTTCGGCGATGCGCCGATTGGACTCGGCGACCAAGGCTTTATCTCACCAAAAATTCCAATAGCTCCTCCAAATTGGCAACCACTTCGGCGACCAACCTGCCCAAAGGGCGAGTCGCCGAGTGGGTTAGGCGAGCTAAGTCGGGGATCGCCTAATGGACCACTGCTACAACTGTACATCTCCGAATTTTGAATTATGGTGGTCCCCCTTACACTTGTCCTTTAGTATTTACCCTTTTTAGTAAATTTCTACTTTAATAAACACTTTTAATCTTTCTCTTTCTTCCCTTTTTGAATCAAACTCGTTCTTTTTGAATATTCTTCCCTTTGAAAATTTGAATGTTCTTCAAGAACTTCAAAAAAAAGATGAAGACCCAAAATAAAACCCATGAAAATTTAGGTGAAGGCAGCTCCTTGATGTGGGGAACAACACCCAATACTTTTTAACCTTCAATTCCAAACCAAAACCTTCAGATTTCAATACCCATTTTCATCTTCTTCAAGCTTCTTCAAGTCTTCAATGGTGAAATCTTCAACAAGGCACCACACTCCTTCCAATCTCAGCCCTAGACTCTAGTAGGGTTGGAGAACACTACTCCAAATGTAGAAACTCAAAGAAGACTCAAATTGAAAAGACCCATTTCAGCAATTTCTCAACACCAAAATTGAACATATTTTTTTTTGTAACAAAACCCCAAGACTAGAATCATAGGAACGAATCTAATCCAAGCTCTGATACCAAATGATGTAATTCCTATAAGGAAATCACAGTAAATTGCGGAAATCAAAGACATAAATTACAGATAAATAAATAGACACAAAAAGAGGAAACAAAAAGCAACCAAAGGGTTTATTAAACCCAATGAGCTCAATTTGTTAATCCTACAATAAGCACCTAACTCTTACGAAGACCTCAAGGGAATCGATATCTCGAGCAACCAACGTTTCTAACAAAAGGCAACAAAAGCTTAACCAAGCTCTCAACACTCAAACATGAGTTTTCAATTTTCAACATTCAAAACAATCTAAGTCTAAAATGAACCGAAACTAGCTATTTATAGTTTTATGATAAAAGGGACCAAAGGTGACCCAAAGTCCCAAAGGGCGAGCCAAGTTGAGCTTGCCTAGTTATTTGGGCGATGCGTCGACCTAGTCGGTGAGTTTCTCTACCTGGGTCCCAACTTAGCCATGTTCTGTAATATTAGGCAAGCTGGGACCATCGCCTAATCCCTTGGGTGATGCACCAAGTGGGTCCTGCTCCCCAAAAGGACCCCATGCAACCTTCAAGGTCTGAAATCCCTTGTTTGCCATCAATACCATCTCGAGGACCTCCATTTTCATGAATAACAATTGCATCCTTTGAAGGTCTTGAGCTTGGCTTCTAGTGAATATCCTTGATGAACTCCATACTGCATCATCAATCGTGATCAAAAAGTTTCAAATGATGACTAGCTAGTCTGAACATAAGTTCAACCTCACTTTAGCTTCTTGTCTAATGCAAGAACATGTTTCACAAAATGGATTATAGTACGTCATATCAAGAATGATTATATTCTCTCACAGAGAAAATCTTAAAAGTTATAAGGAATCAATGCAACTCTCACTCTCTCAAATGAGAAATACATGCAAGCTTTGTCACATAGGTTTGCCCATATTTTCTAATCATGAAATAACCTTGTTCATGCAAGATCTCAAGGGTCTTTTAGGCTTGTAATGTTCCTGAGGGATAAGGTATGGTCAATTTCAATTGGTGACTTTACCTTTTCAAAGGATTGTTGCAATCATCATCACCTCTTCTCATGTTCTTTGCTTTCTTTTTTCATTTGAGAACTCAAGCATTGACTTGTCACTCAATTTGTTTGGAATCCCCTTTATTTTATTCATTTCTCTTTTTCATTTTCATTATTTTCAAAGCATTTCTATTAGAATGATTTTTTTTATAAGGAGGGGTTCTTTCTTTTTGTAACACTTTCAAAGTTGACTCTCATTTAGTCTTTCTTTGCCCTTCACTTGGCTTTCACTCATACTTCCTTTCCACACCCCAACTGATTCATTTGGCCTAGGATGGCTATCAAAATATAAAAATTCTTCATAAAGCATTTTTGGTGGGAAGGATGGGACAATTTGATTCAAGAGGCTTTCATTTGGTTTTCGCCAACAAATAGGTTAGGCTCAAACAGTGCCAAAATGGGTGGACATCCTCGCAACGTAGTCACAAAGGATTATGGACAATTTGTCTCCCTCTTTAAATTGTTGCCCAAGTTTGTGTCTCACATTCACCAAGATTCAAATAGTTAGACTAACAAGGAAAATTCTAGGACCACATATATGTTTCAAAGTAAGACCTAACCACACTTGACACTTTGAGATACACTCATTTACCACATCCTAAAAATATCAAAATCATACGTGCAATGTTCATTTCTAGGCTCAAATAAAAATGTAGTTTGTCAACAAAATTTTCAAAGAAATCGCTTAAAAGTGCAACCACATCAATTTCATTCTCGCAACACCAACACTATACACTATGATCATCATTAGTACTATTCAAGACATCGATATTGACATAATCGATCCTCAAATTGCTATTAGTGAAACTTCAAGATTTTCACGATTTTAAACTTATTGGGGGTTGCAAAATTAGGAGAGAACAAAAATAGATATAAGAGACAAACTTTAACCTAAAAGAGCACTATATAATATAAAGAAGATTAAATTACCACACTTGTTCAAATATCAAAATAACAAAATACAATGAAAAGGGGAATATAGGCTTCAAGGCCCTCACTCCACCAATAAAAAAGAAAAGCAGTGTCCTAAATGCAATCGAAACAAAAGTATGGGAGGCTTAGATAAAAAGGTCCCCTTGACAGGTTATGCCTTTAGAGCACTCTTATCTAGAGTTTCAAGT